AGGGTGAGCTTGAAATCTATTTGGTAGAGATAATGATTAGCTTAGTATCTTAGTCTTTAGAGCTAGCTTAGTAGCTTAGCATGTGTATTCTTATTTTAAGAGTTGTTGTTACCAAAATACTAAATGTTGCATCATCATTGCATGCATGTAGAGAACGAGTTGGTGGAGTTTGTAACCGCCGGAGAGCAGGAGTATGAGGAAGTGATCGAGAAGTATGAGGAGGAGGTTCTTGTACAGGAGGAAGCCCCATAACCACCGACGACTGACATAGCTGACAATTCGCCTGCCCAAGGCAAGCCTCGGTGCATAACCCTTATTTTGAATAATCACTGGATATATATATGTGATGTGCATTTACGTTACAGGATTTATATTGAAACTACATGCATAGATAAACTTACCTATAAGTCCTATTAGCATAGGTCAAGTAGCTGCTATGCTTAGGCTATCGGTAGCGTGAGTAACCTGCTGTTACTCACAATAGGTGATTATTATTATTACTCTCATGATAAAATGGTGAAAGGAAATGGAGACCGGACAGGGATATGGTACGGGTATTGGTGAGTGTAATAGGTTATGTCCCGCGGCTAACGGAGCATAGCTTGGTTACACTGTTTTTTCTATCCGTGTCGGTTAAGGACCGTCCGTTGCTGTGGATGGTAGTCAGGTCACAGACTTATTATCCTGAGCACATACTTGCTTATGGGAGCGGGAATGCTCGTTGCTCTTTTATCATAGGTTCCGGCTCTTTCCGGACGGACTGATTGGAGGTGGGGATGGTGGAGGTCTAAGCACCACACTGAGTACGGGACTTACGAGTGGGGGCTTAGAGTCCAAGTTTGGACGGGGACCTGGACCCCTAGACAGGAGAGTGGTGGGTTGGTCTTGCTTGTGCCTAGGGTACAAACGGGGTGTGTATTTCGGGGTACCCAGCTGTGATACATTGGTCTAGCACCGTAGTAAGAATTAGAAGATGAAAGGGAATGAATGGATCTGATTGCTCAACTCTTGCTTAAAAGTAGAACAGGTGCTTACATAAAATGGTTAGCTAATGAACTAATCATGACTGGTAATAAAACACATACATAAGGATTCATTACTAGTAATGCTTTTTGCAAAAAGAAAATCCAGCAAACCATAAAGCTTATCATATCCTTTGAAGTTAGAAAATTATTCCCACTAGTCAGGTAAGTCTTGCGAGTACATTGTGTACTCAGGGTTTATTTACCCCTGTTGCAGGTGCAGCTTGAGGAGTGGTTGTTGTGTGGAGGATTCTTTCTGGTGGGCATAGACGGATCCTTGTATCTTATCGTTAGATGTTTATCTCAATTCCACTATTTAAATTCCGCACTCTGAACTTGGTATTATATTAATGTATTTCCGAGAACTCTTGTTGTATGAAATAGACTAAGTATTGTAAACTCGTTCTCATTATTGGATTCTGGATGAAAAACGTGGATTGTTTGAGTTCTCTCTTGGGGTGTGCTCGACGGAACCACCTGGTGTAGCTTACTTTCGTGGTGCTTAGTGTTTAGTGAAAGACGAGCGCCTCCGAAAGCGTGTTATTTTAGGTGGTTCTGCCACATACTGCATTGCTCAGGGTGTTAGATCTAGAAAGTTTGGCTTAGATATGGATGTTAGATAGAATGCTACATATCTTATGCTTAAACACTTGCTTCCATATAAGAATATTTTTTCTGTGTTCCTTTGCCCCCACTCCATCTCTCTGTCTGCTTCTGCTGCTGCTTGTGAGCTCTCAACTTATTTGGACAATGACAATGTCACAGCATATGAGGATGACTTTGATTTACTTTTCTGATGACTTGACCACAAACTAACATTTCTAGTACTTTCTATAATGGCTAGAGATATTATGTCTGTTCCTGTTTCTACTGTCTCTTCATAATCATGTTTCAGCTTCATTGGAAGGATAATTGAAGAGCGGTGACGACGCTTGTTGCCTGAAACTATGGAGATGCTGACTTGTATAAAGGATTGGGACTTAGGAGAAAAAAGGTTGCAGCATGCTGTTGACAACCAAGAGTTAGAAGACTCATTCGAGAATTTCTATCTTGATGAAGATGCATCAGGGGCTGCTTCTGCTGGCACATTTGCATCTATGGCTTCTGTTGGCACTTAGTGTCTGTGTGAGACTTGAGAGTGATCTGTTATCTGTATCTGAGACATTTGAACAATGGTTTAAGACTTTATTAAGAGCTGTGCTGCACTCTTTTTTTCTAGGGTTTCTCGAAAGGATGAGTTTTACCTAAAAAGATTTTTAATGAGGCAGCATTGTACAAATAACTCATTTATCTTTTAAATTCTCCTGTGGCTCTGTGTTAAGTGTTTGACCGTTCACATATTGTTGTTTTGTTTGAGTTGTGACTTGTGATTTGTGAATGAACGAGAGAATTCAATCTCTGTAACTTTTATGTGACAACAATTGTGAAATATGATAAGTGTTTGAACAGTTTATTTTTTTTGAGGTGTTTTGAGGTCACCGGGCTGTGGGCTGGCATGGCCCGCAGTTTTGTCTGGGCTCAACGGACCGGCACGGCACGAATTTCAGCCCATAGTGCCGTGCTTGGGTCGAAGGCCAGGCACGAGGCACGCAGAGGCACGACATGTCGTGCCGGCCCGACACCCTACGGGCCGTGCCTGGCCCGTGCCCGTGCCGTGCCGAGCCGGGCCGGCCCAATGGCCATCTATAGGCGGCGAAAGGGAACCCGGCTGAATTTGCATAGGCACCGTCGTCTCGTCTTGCACGAGGATACGACCTCCTGCCCCATCTTAGTCTTATTAGGACTGTGATCCCTTCCAGATCCACCACCAGTTGCAGGAGAAGCAGGAACCGGATGCGTGTCCTCCGTCAATCGCAACGACGGCTGCGTGCAATTGGAGGGGAGGGAGGAGATCGGGCGGCGCGTTTATCGGAGACGTGGACTGGCCAACGGTGGGCGGTGGCAAGAGGCCAGCCCAACCTTCCCTGCCCTTTGCTTTTATGGATGGAGGCCGCGTCGACTCGGACAAGGAGTCCGTCCGCGGCACCAACTAGTCTCCGCCCCCGTCGACCCTGCCGTCTCCTGCCGGCGCCCGGCGCGGCGGCCGTCACGAGCGCCGCCGATAACGACCCAACCACGGTCGATAAGCTCGTGGACCGTCTTCGTAACCTTGGGGTTAGTCCCCAAAGTCCAAAGATCACAAGCGACCTCATGTTCAGATTGTCAGGATGCCTGCAGTGTTTTAGAGTAATCTTTCATTGCTTTACGAGTCATTGAGTCCTCAAATTACAATTCTACCTAATTACTAAAATATTCCATCAGCATCACAGTCGCAAAGATGGTCTACAACACTGCAGGCATCCAGACAATCTCTGAAGATGACCAAGGACATCACGACTTATGTCATAAACATGAAACATGCATCACATATAGGTGAATTTGAATTCTACTGATTGAGAGGTATCCACTCCAGCTCCAGTTCTACCTCCCCGGATTCCACGTTCTGCAGCCTCAGAGAGACCTCCTGCTTGACCTTGCCACCGATCACATTGACGGCGCTGTCCCTTGCCAGCGCATTGTCCGGGGACTTGAGCCACTTGCCGATCTGCATGTCCGCGAGTAGGTCAGGGTCGCCAAACGCTGTAGCTGCACTGATCATCGGCTGCAGGTCAATCTCGGCATCGCCCATTTTGTCATCCTTTGATAGCATGTCATGGTCGAACATTTGCTGGGTTGTGAAAGAGAGGAAAGGAGTTTGTTAGATGCTATTACTTCTGAATCTGAAGTTTATGGTTAACATGTTTGTAATAAGGAGTGTGGACTTACAAGCTTCAGAGGTCCGTACTGCTGAGGAACTGACAGCTTAAGCTCTTCATTCCAAACAGGATTCAGATTACGTTTAATCACAGAAGTCTTTGCTTTCTGCAGAGAGCAATGCTAATATCAACTGAAATGGTCTGAATGGGACAAGGATAAACAATCAGGAATCTTTCAGCTAGGATTAATCAATTTGGTGAAATGCAATACCTGTTGTCCTAGGGTCAGTACAACATAGGGGTCACTACTTATCAGGTCTCTTACAGCTAATTTAGTCCCTCTTATTACTTTAACTTTTAGTATTCCGATAAACTCAACCATTCCAGCCTGCAAAATATATGAAGCAAAGGATGCTTAAAAGGGCATTGCGTCATTGAAGATCAAAATTGACTCTTTTATATAGCCAAATTTAATTAACAGTTAAGTCAAACTTTACCTCACTGTTGAAACTAGCAGAAAGAGAGACATTACTGCCCGTATGTTTCCGAGAGCCGGTAGCCTCTAAAGAGCCCTTATTAGAAGCTAACCTTAGGCTTGGCTTCAGAAATTCTTGCAGCTCATACTTCGACCTGAGAGGTTGCAAAAACTACTCATGTTCAGCAGTTACTATATCAAGTACGTCTTTCTTTTGCATAGGACTGATCTATCATTCGTACTAAGCTCTTTAATTAGTGAAATTGTAAGGTGCAGATTAGCTATAGTGGTTGAGACAAAAGACAGCTTCTCATATTTTAAACTGAATGGCTAGCTAAATGTTGTCAAAAGTAAACTTACTGACTCTTAGCATCGTAATTTTTAATACTTCCCAAGCAAAATATTTGCTTATCTCAGGTACCTGATGAAATCAGCTCTCTCTTCCTGGCTAGAATCTCGATGCGGCTTGTGATAGCCCTCTGGCAGAAATGCTTCATATATAGCATTAGCATAAGAGTTTCCACCAACTTCTATCATGGAGTTGATCTCATCATCTGCCCATTGATCTAGACTGACTGACAGCACCTGTGTCAAGCAGAAATTCGCTTCAACCAGAGCATTCTTCAAGCTGCTACAGCGCATCATAATTTTGAAAAAGGAGTGACAAAAGTACATACAATCATCTTGCCATTTAAAATGTTTTGCTTCTACTCACATACACATACTAGAGCGCAAGAATTAACATTATTCCTATTTGCAATGAATAACCTTTGAAACATGTGTCCCAAGGCTTCTGTGAACACCAGAGCATTTTAGACAAATGAATACTCCAATATTAGCTGATCTGCAGGAACAGAGTTAGTTATTCGTAAGGAGACAAGTAGTCAACGGATCAAAGATATTGATGTATGTAAGATTGAGCAATGACTATGCATAACATTGGGATTACCAAACAAAAAAACCTTGACAATTACCCAAACTCTAATATGTTCAGATAGCTGCCTAGTAATACTTCACATCGAAATGCTCACATATTGAAGTCAAGAGCAGAGTACTTACGCCCATTTGGGATCAGGTGCACTGCAGTCAGCACATATGCGGTTGTCGCTCTTTTGCAGCAACTCTCTGAGCTTCCTTGTCATATCTTATTTTGAGGTAAGGAACATGAGCTATGTTAGAGGCTTAGAGCAAGTGCTAACTGCTAAGAGATAGTATGTTTTGTTTCCGGTTAGCAAGTGATGTTGAGTAATCACACGCATATAACATGTGGCGTACGCATCACTGAATATAAGCGAATATTAACAGTGAAATTCTGAAGATTGGTAAGGAGGTCAATGCAGCTCTGCATCACCTGAGGCAGCCCTCCCGCTGTCAGCCCCGTATCTTCTGCTCATCTTCGCCGCATCGAAGCTCAGCCCTCCAACTACACGTCTACACCAGACACCAGTCCCCCTCAACAATGCAAGAGAAAATCCAGAGAAAGTGAGGGTAAGGCGTCAAGAATCAAGAACTATTCTTCCAGTCGAGTCGATTGAGGAAGACTCTCACCAAGTAACCAGGATGCAACTGAAAGAAGAGCAATACCTGAAGCTGAAGCGGCAAGAAATGGATTAGATGTCGACCAGCAGGCTGCAGTTCGCCTAGCTTCGTGCCGGGGTTTGGATCTCCAGAATTTCTCCGCTGCGCTTTCCAAGGGAATTGTCTGCCATGAGCAGAGCACAGGAGCGGGGGCGTCTGTTTGGTCGCCTTCGTAATTCACTAATCTTTGGACTTTTGGACTTTGGAGCTCAGCCACAGAACATACCATACCATACCATATGGTGTGGACCCGGGCGAAACCAGTGGGACTGTGGGAGCGCGCTGTCGGCAAAGGCAATGGGTTTAGGTTCACAGGGAACTGAAGAGTGGAGAGCTTGACATTTTTAGGGTAGCATAGTTTTTGTCTGTTGTACCGAAACTTGCGGTTCAATTAACCCTACAACACAGCCTGACCAGTACAGAAGGTCTAGAGAAAATTTACTGCATAGTCCATTATTTGCTGAAAAGATAAAATAAGGAGAAATTTTACAATGGGGAGAAAATATGGGCCATTTATATGACGAGATCAAATTGTATAAAAATAGAAGGTACACATATAAAAGTATCTAGAAATACTAAATAGATAGGGACAATACTAAAAATATGTGTGACCAGTACTAAAATAGGTAGAGCAATTCCAGATTTTCCCTATATTTATTTATTCTGAATAAGAGTAGATTAGTAATTTTAGAATCTTCATTGAAGGGCAAATTGAGATTTTCCATCCACCTCTATCAAGCAAACTTATCGTGCTGCTGCTGATAAGCCACAGAGAGAAAGTGGTACTGAGGATATGCATCACCCGATGCTAGGATGTGATGGCACCCTAGGGGATGCAATGGTAGAAGCGGACGAGGGGGACAGGGGAATGGATAAGATTGGAGGTCCAGATTTATAGAGTCAAGATTACTATATATCGTTATCGGAAAGAGGCTAGCACCCGGATGTCTGGACGAGGGCTAGCGCCCGGATGCTCGCGCATACTTCGCGTAGGCATGCTGTTGCGCCCTCCCGTACGTCTGCGCCTGCTTCACGTGGGGGCCCGCGCCGCTCCATGTCCTGCACCGCACCGTCTCCCTTGTCGCTCCATCTCAATCTGCACCCGCACGGTTTCCTGTGCCTACCGCTCGTGCCCCCTCCACACCCACGCGCATGCAGACGGGCCCTGCAGCTATAGAAGGCGGCTGCTATAGATGGGTCCTACTGCAACATGTGCAACACCAGATCTACTTTTGTAACATCTAGAGGAAACATTTGCAACATACGTCCGGAAATAGTTGAAACACTTGCAACATATATCTGAAACACGAGGAAAACACATGTGTAGCCATTGCAAAACATATGCAACATCTAGATGAAACACTTGCAATATATGTGTGAAAAATATGCAACATCCGGATAAAACACTTGCAACATAATTAAGTGTGAAACATATGCAACACCCAGATAAAACTCTTGCAACATACGTCTGAAATGGCCGAAACATTTGGAACAGACACTTGCGACATACGTGTATAGCCATTGCAACATATGCAACATCCCGATCTACTTTTGCAACATCCACATGAAACACTTGCAACATACATATAAAACACCTAAAACACACGCTTGCAACATGCGCTTTTCAGCGCAACATCTTATTGTTGCTTGGGAGAATTGAGGTCGTCGACGCGGAGCTCGACGCTGGCACTAAGCTCAATGCCATGGAGGTCGCCAGTGCGGAGCTCATCAGCGGCGTAGAGCTTGCCGGTAACACGCGGCTCACCGGCGACTGTGCGAGCAGAGCTCAGCGACGACGTGTAGATGTCGACGGCACGGAGCTCAACGGGGCGGTTGATGCCGGCAAAGAGGCGCAAGCTACGGGGGGCTGAGGAAGCCGATAGGGTGGTCGGTTTAGACGGAGGTTGCATGGAGGAGAGCGCTTGGAGGCACTGGAGCTAGCGGTGGCCGTGGAAGCTCGGCGGGAGGCCATGGCGCTTGGTGCCTGCGCTCTCGAGCAGAGCGAGAGGGAGAGGAGCAAGGGTGAGCAAATGGCAGAGGGAGAGAGGGCACCGGCTCGGTCTCCACACTTGCGCGAACTCGAGGCGGCGAGCGGAGGCACGAATGGAGCATGGCAGCCATGCGTCGGGCGTGTTCTGTCCTGGACATCCTTCCTCTCCCTTATGCTTTGAATGGAGAGACGGAGGAGAGGGAGACGAGATAGAACCGAAAAGGATATTTGTGTGGTGGGTAAAATACGTGGACACCGTAAAGCCACATAGCATCCGGCGTATAGGTGAGAGATGGATGCCCACAGTGGAGCATTATCATACCGTTATGTATAAACTTAGCCGAGCCCAGGGTTTGATTCCCATATGGCATTGTTCTTTTGCATGGCGTACATATATTTCTCAAAAGAAATGGGTCATCACTACAGCTCTATTGAGTATTTAACGATTTCGTAATCATAGTACATATCTAAATAGTTAAAGCTAAGGGCGCATTCAAACCATTCAGGCAATCTGGCTACCATGTACCATCCCTACTCGTCCCAAAAATGATGATGATGGCTTCATACTAAGTCAAATGCCTTAAATTTTGACAAAATTTGCATGAAAAGATGCTTTTATTTTATCATATTTAATAAGCATCATTAGATTTTTATCGAATATATTTTGATAGCATGCATACTTGAAGTCATTAATTCCCAGGTAAAAAAACATTAGACATTCCAATTATTTTTTTATATAAACCTGATCAAATTTAAATAGTTTAACTTAGGATAAACCTATAATTGTGTTGTTTCTACGACAGAGATTCTAGTAAATAAACCCATCAATACTTTACCAATTCATACCATTTACCTACCAACTTATACCATTTATGGGGAAAAAAGTTAAAGTACAGGATTGTTGTTGGCGAAGGTATGTTTATCTCCATCATATGCATTTTTATCTGCAAACCCTAAAATATAATTTTAAAAATGTCATCAACCTTTTCATATCATAAGCCCTTGTCGCTTGAACGTTAAACACTAATTTGTTTTCTCGAACACGCACTTAGACGTGTGGTTCACTAAACACTAGCGCAATCAAACCTACGATCGCTAACCCTGTGTGGGCTAGTAAAGCAAGTTCCGAGAATTTGAGAAGACTGACACACAAGAAGGATCTGGCAGAATAGTTTGGCTCAAAAAAGATTTAATCTCCAAAAAAGATGCTGCACTTTCTATGGCATCTCGGGCAGAATAGTCTCCGGGGTATGAAGCAGCTAGATACCAGTTGCATCCTGTGCCGAAGGTTCGATGGAGATCATTGCATAGAGCATGCCACGATGATTGTTCAGGTACGGACCTCATCAGAGTTCGACCGTTGCTCTGTTAGTGGCCTCATCTGGGAGCTGAAAGATTTACTGTTATGCAATTTTGTTAACGAGGATAGTTACGATCCTCGCTCAGTCGCTCATGTAATTTGGTCGCCCAACCTAGCTGCCCTAGGAGCAAGTCCTAGTCCGCCAGTCCGGGTACGATCTCAGTACGAGATAATATTCCAGCTTGTATCCAGGTTCTGTAGATCAAAGATTTGGCATTAGTTATTGTGTAATGGAGTTTACTTCATGTTCAAAAAAGGATCTTCGCTTGAATCAAGACAAAGAACAGATTCGTGAGGCCTATAACTTACTAGAATCAAGAACCATGCAATTTTTCTTGTCGAACGAATGGTCTATTGGTCTTTTAGTTATCGTCTTGAACTTTAGTTTTGAACATATAATGAGTCTATTTTCTTGGTGCGTGTATTTGTTTTCGGAACTGCTGGTGCTCGGACGTCCGATCGGATATCGATCCGTCGGACGGTACCATGGCTCGGGCCAATTCGTTTCCCGCGCGCGCCTGGACTCCACACCCGTGCCAACAAGCCCCCTGCTAGTGCCTGCTTTTCGCGTGCCCACGCGGGGGTCCGCACTGTGGGGGCCACTCGCGCCCCCTTCTGCTTCTCATGCGCATCCCGTGTGCAATACCTGATTTACTTTTGAAATATCCAGATGCAAAACTTGCAACATACGTTTGAACCCAGATGAAACACTTGAAACATGCGTCTGAAACACTTGCAAAAACACTTGAAACATGCATATGAAACACTTGCAAAAGCACTGGAAAACCATTGCAAAACATACTCAACATCCAGATAAAACACTTCAACATATGTGTCGATGTTTTGTTACCCGATGAGTGAATTTATATGTATGTCGCGTTGCTCTAGAAAGACGATGGTAGCATCCAAAGACACAAGGAGTTATATTGGTTCAGACATGAGCCCTACGTCCAGTCTCAGAGATAGTCCGGGTGCGTGTTCCTCGGTTGAATACTATGAAGTTCTTACAATGGGGTATATGCAAGAAGAGTGAAAAGAGGTAGGAGAGTGGAGAGGGACTGTCCGAATAAAATCTCGAGAGCCCATCCCCTTGGAAGGATACCCTGGCTGCCCTTATATAGAGTCTGGGACCAGGCCACATACAAAGAGATAGGTTCTCCCGACCGAGTGGTCGTGAGGCTGAGGGAGGAGAAACTAGCTATCTTGGCTTGTAAGGAAGGCCATCTTGTCTTGGTGTCAGCGTACGTCCGAGCGTGATTGTTGTCATGGTCTTGTGCCCATGTCACGGCATGGGGTGGCGTGGTGCTACACGGTGTTGGTTAGCCAGTCGTCCTATGCGACGTGGTCTCACCGTGGCCTTCGTCATCGTCTTCTGATCTCTCGGGAGCGTCGTACAGGAGTAGGTAGCTGCTCTCAAGTCGTCGGTTGTCTTGCTAGTCGTGGCGCCGGTGACCATGATCCCGAGC